TCAATTAAGTTTCAGAGTATTAGAAGACTCCCCAGTTGCCCAGGGGGGCTCAGGGAGAGGCGGGGGAGGTGAGAGAAGCTTGTTTGCTGCATGCATCAGAAGACATTCAGTGTACAACACCGTACAGGAGAGAATTTAAAGAAAAAAAAAAAAGTTAAATTTAGCCCGTAGCTTGGTACGGGAGAGAATGTCTCCCCGGGGCGCCTCTACGCCAGGCTACAGAGTGCCATCCCCGGGCTCTAACAGATGCCCAGCAGAGCAGCTCCAGGCCCTAAACCTCACCGTAGTCTCTTGTGTTAATGAGGACTCTTGATGCAGTTTAAGGTACACTGGTGAGCGGCTCTAAATCAGAGCTTGTCCTGCCCGGGAAGGTCTGGGCTGCTGCGGAGCTGGGTCTGTTTGCATTCCAGATGTGCGCCTCCAGCCTGCCTCTGACCAGCATTCATTTCTGCACTCCACAGCTGGTCCATGTAAATGTGCCATATTGCGGCCCATCTGCTCAGAGAGTGCACAGTGGCACATCTCTCTCTGACAGTGGACCATTTTATTGAACGCTATAAATATTGAAATTCATAGGCATGAAGCAGCAGATTTTTAATGTTACTTAGAGAGACATTTGAGCCACAACCTTTGGCAGCAGCACACGCTGCTAGTATCTCAGTACACTGCGCGCCATTTGGTTCAGGCTCATGAACAACTTTTCCAGAGATTTCATGGCTCTCCAATCCCAGGTAAAATGGAGTACAGACCCTGTGGGATGATATTTAGTGTGAATGTCACCCTGCATACAATGTGCATTTGGGATATGGACTTTCCAGCCCTGTGCTGTGTTAAACCATATGTTAATGTTTTCATACTCAGAAAAGATTAGATCGGGGACCAATAAAGTTTCAAAACTACAAATAATAGGCTAACCGAAATGAAATGTGAGGTATTCCTAAGCCTGAGTGTTGTTTTTTTTCTCCCAAAGTCTCTGCAGGTTTGTTTTTTTAAATGGTGACACTGTATTTTGCAACAAGAAACTGGCATATTCATATTTCATAAGCTAATACATGTAAATTTTGTATTAGCGAGTAAACATCTCTATTAATTTGAAATTCATGGCTTCTGATCTGGAAAAGAAGCAAAACAGCACTTTGTGGTTTTTTGTTTGTCAAGTAGTCCCTAGTAAGTGTTCAGTGAGCTGGAAACAGCCGAACCCCAAGCTAGGATACATGTATATATTATTTCTGATGGATTTTTTTTCCTCTTACCAAGCCAGCAGTTCCTGCAGAGCATCAGAAACCACCCTTTTCCCTTTTGGAATGAAAAGGAATTTTTCCATCTACATTAATTAGAGAAGGATCAGGCCCTTAATGAGAGAAACTGCATTAAAAAGGGAGAACATATTTGAAATTCTCTAAAATGCTTTGAAAAAAATCGTGTTCATTTTCATGTGGAGTGTTGAGCCTGCCGTGGCATCCGCGATATTTTCCACTCCTGGAGCCGATCAGGCAGTAAAATAACATCGCACTCAGCGGGCGGTAGCTTGGGGAGTGAGACGGGGCGCTTGTTTTATTCAGAGGAGAGCATCCCAGCTCCTGTGACAAACAGGCTAAAAAGTCTTCTGAGCATGTGGGGTAAAGCGGGGACTGGAAAAAAAGAAAAACAAAGCAGAAAATGTCTGCTGAGGATATTGTCTGGCACGTATGTTTCCCGAAACTGCACCGCTTTTTGAGTTTGCTTCATTGTCTCTTTTGCAGTTGCTCCGTTGTCTTCATTATAATTTAAAAAGAGGGAGGAAAGACAGCATCTTTAATAGGGAAGTCGTACCGTTTGGGCAATAAGCTGTGTCACTGCTCAAGCCGGTCCCCCAGTTCCCAATCAGCAGTGTTATGTAAGGTGGCAGGTTAATAAATGCGACACACTGAAATCATTTGTACCAGATTATCTCTCCTTCCAAACTCTGACAGATGCTAAGTCCAGCTGGTAAAAAAAGTTTATAGGCGAGTTGGATCTGGGGCCTTCACACACTCCACAATGTTGGCTACCAATGCTTGTTTTAATGAGTCACGAATTGCCTGTTTATCTTCTGCTCCCTGCTGTTTCTGCATTTTCTCTTCCAGAACAATCCTAGAAACACATGCTGCTACAGACGCTGGAGCAATGTGTGTAGACATTTGAGCCAAATTATTATAAAGAACTTTTTCTTCTTTGATATTAAAAAAAAAAAAAAGGAGAGAATTGCACATTGCCTAGCAAATCGTTATCTCAGATGTTCGCTGTGACATGCTCAATATGGCCTACCAGAGAAAGTTGGAGACATTTGAAACCCTAACAACTACGCAAAATGACACTGTAATTGGCGGGTTTTGTTGTTCATGTTCTGGCTCTGCGAAAACTGCTCTAAACACTTTGTTTAATGATGTTACATTATGACAACACATGGCTTCTGTAGAGCAAGTCATCGCGTCGAACATGCGACATCACGAGAAGGGGAGCGGAGGGCCGGGCCCCGGGGAGAGGGGCAGGGTGCCCACACGTGCCAGCACACATCCGTGCACATGTGGGGAAAGGGGCGACCCAGGGCTGACATGCTCCCGTGGACGAGTCCCTCTGCCCATCCCAATGGCTTAAAGCCAGCTGCCATGTCTTTGCAGATGCGCTGGTGGCGTGGGGACACCGGCCCCCCGTGATTCGGCAGCCTCCATCACCTTCCCCCTTTTCTGCTGCGGTGGCTGTAGCCCTGTTCTTTGGGCAGGCCGGGCTGACTCGGTCGAGCAATGCCCTGATGCAGAAGTCTCTCTGGACAGAGACATGTGCCCCACCACCCAGCTGTCCAGAGCTGAGACCGTCTGTGCTGGAGACAGCCGGGCTTCAGAGCAAGCCACCACATGACGTTTCCATGTGGGTCATGTTGCCCCGCAACATAACCTGAGGATATTTAGCTGTTGTGATACTGTTTAAAAGAGATTCCACTTATACCCTCTGAAATAATGTGCATGCATGGCATGGGATGCAGGTGCAAGACACCCCCACGCCCACAGAGATGCCCTGCGTGTGTACGGGGAGCCCCAGGACAACCCTGCCCTGAGCCCCCGGCACAGGCAGGGACACCGCTCTGCTCGTGCCGTGTGCTGAGGTGCTGGATCTCTGATCACGCAGGAGACCTTCTGGCCAAGGGGACACAGGCTCTCCATGCAGTGGCGAGGAGGAAGAGTGCAATGACACAAGGTACGTCCAGGAGGGCTGGCTGGGCTTCGGGTGGATTCTTGAGGAGCAGAAATGGATGTGTAGGTATTGTTCATCAAATGCTGCAATATGGTTGTGCACCACCTCTGTTTAGTCTGTATGTGCTGAGCACACAGGCATAAACCTGCCGTGTCTGGTGTCTTTGTGGAATGGGGGCCTGATACTGTGAACCATGGCACAGACTCAGCTTCCTCGGATGCGCTGAAAACAGCTGGATGGAGCATCTCTCCAGTGGCACGGGGAACTTTGTGTAGCTCCAGCCGCTGCGCTTAGCACGGCTTTGCCACGGGACTGCAGCAGCGGCTCCCCCTTTTGCAGGTTTCCCAAGGTTTCTTTGTGTGTCAGCTGCCCGGCTGAATGGCCTCCCTGACGTCCTCAGAAAGAAAACAGTGAGGAACCCATTTTTGCCAGCGCTTCTGGTTATTAACAGAATGTTTCAGATTTGTCTATTCTTTGCACATGGGAAACTGTATGGTCATTTGGCAGATGTTGAAACTCACCAATTTTATATCCAGCAGCTTGGAAAAACAATGCGTGTCATACTCTGTTTAACAAAATATATGCTGGGCAGAGTCCATCTTCTGTGCTAGCAAAGTGAATCTTACTCCTACCAATCACTCACTGTCACGAAGGCGAAGGAACCGCCGTAATGCCGTAAGATGATTTGTTTGCAGTTCTAGCTTTCATCTTAAATGGTGTGGCTCTCCCACACAGCCAAGGTGCAGCTATTGCCGGTGCTGCCTTACTCTGCCTTCCCGTTTTATTTAGCCGGTTTAGCAGTATGGTAATGACAGGAAGAAAACATACATATAAAATATTGTAAGCATCAAGACATGGAAGGAGAAGGTAAATCTGGCTCCCAACCATGAAATCTTATTCTGCAGTTGCCTTCTTAATGGCATCTCTTGAGGTCAGTGGCTTTGAATTCTCCCAATTGTATGGGGTCACTCTGGCAGCATTGACCAAGTAGAAAAGATTCAGCCAGGGGAAACAATGGCAGAAGTCACCCTTTAAATGTCCTGCCTTCTATATCATGCAATTGATTCCAAGGCTCCCCACCACGATGTCACTGTTTGACCAGTTTGCTTTAAAACAGCTTAATTAGCTGAAAGGAAAGCTATGTCTGAGCATGTTTGTGAGAAAAAAACAAAAAGCTCTGGCCTTTCAGAAAGCTCATGCTCTGTCTTGTCGGAAATCTCTGGTTCTGAAATGAAACAACATTCCTTTCATACAGAGTTAAGTCCCTCCCTGACAACAAATTTTCCCGGATTGGAGAAACAACCGATTGCGCAGGGCGCTGATGTTGGAGGCGCTGATTTCATTTCGGTTTTAGTTTGGTTTGGCTTGGTTTTGTTCAGTTTGGGGGCCTGAGAGCTCTGCACCTTGGTTAACTGCAGGGACGCCATGGGAGGAGGTTGTGACAGCCCCATTGCCCCTGATCTGAGGGGCGGTCGAGACTCACTGCTTCAGTACTTCGGTGCCACTTCTGTGTCAACGTCCAGGCCATCAGCTCGAGAGGGTCTGAACACACAGGAAGGAGAAACAGACGACTTTAAGTGCTTAAGCCCAACTTTTCTTACAGAGTTCTTCCTTTTCCCAAACCCCAGGCACAAGGCAAGCCCAGAAATTCAGTGGGAAGAGAACTCAGAGGAGCTGGAGGCAAGGCACCTGCTGGCCTCTGGGAAGAAATGGAAACCAGAGGTCCCAGTCCTGCCTTCCTCAGCTTAACCTACAGACACCGGGAAGGTCAAAACATAGCCTTTGGCCCACTATATGTTCTCTTTAGCAATCAAATCTCTCCTGAAGGAAAGAATATGAGCACTGAGGGGCTTTGTTCTGTGGTGGTCGCGGCAGCTTGTTGGTGTTACCAGGCTGCTGGGCAGCTCTGAAAGGACTTCTTCCCCTCCTGAGAGGCAGAGAGAGGTTTGAGTAATGTGCCCAAGGTTTTAGGAAGAATCATCTTCAAAGCTGGATCTGCTATGCGAAAAATAAAGGTACAGTTTTGCTATTCTGTCTATTAATCCACGGTTTGGCGTCAGGCCTTTTTGTGTGTGTATTTGCACGGTGTGCCTAGCGCCAGTACTGATGGAAAATATGGGAACCCAGCATCAGAGGTGCATGGGGGAGTGAAGGACATCAAGCCAGAGCAAATCACAGAAAGAAGCATTTAGACAGAAAACAGGATTAGGTTAACATGCTCCCTGAGACTGCCTGCACACGGTGATTTTATGCGTGTATGTTGCCATAGCAGGTTCAATGAATTCTGCACTAAATGTACTTAAAAGGGGGAGTAAAACTTTGCAGTATCAAGGTTTTAGTGTATTTTGTAACATTTCAGCAGCCTTTCATTCCTGCCATTCATTTTCCAGGGCTTTTATAAGAAATTTCAGTCTATTGCAGTTCATTGGTTCATGTCCAGAACAGCAGAAGTACTTTTAAATAATTTTGCTTTCACTTCATGAAGGATTCTGGATGGGAAATGAAGTAAAGAAAAACCTCACTGCTGAATTAAAAGATTTAGTTAAAATATTTTCTTCATAAATGTTTTTTTTTCCAAAAAAAAAAAATCCTCTTTTAATTCATGTGCTTGTATTTGAAACAATACCCTACTTAAAATGAGATGTTTATCAGTGTTTTTTCCTTTCTCAGCTTTACAGAAAGGTGAAGGAAAGGATGATTAAACCAGAAACAAAGTCAGTAATTAGCAGTATAAATCTCTCAGTGATTTCAGTAGGTCACGAAATTAACTGGTACAGGCTTCGGACACATCTGCTCTTTTGGCAAGTGATGCCCTCCGTGAGCCCGCTCATTGGCTCGCACTAACCGCACGATGGGTCTCGGGGAACTTATTTGCGCTCCCTAAGCTAAACACAGCGCAGCGATGAAACCCTACGATTTCTAAAATGCTAAAGCACGTACGAGGGCTGAGCGTTGCTGGTAACCGAGAGGCAGCCTCGCATGGTTTTGAAGCGCCGAGCTGTCTCCCTGGGACCCCCGGTGGGAGAGGGAATGTGAGAGTTTATTGTGCGTGGCTGAACGCTGCTTCGCAAGGCTCAGATTGGGGAAATTATTTGGAGGTTTAGGGAAGAGGGACCTGGTTACCGTGCTGTGGGCTGCTGCCAGGAAGGGGGCTATGCCCGCAAGCTAGCAAGGAGAGCCCCAGCACCAGAGTTACTGCTCCATTTTCATCTGGGCCAGAGCTTGTCTCTCCTGGTGGCAGAGCAGCAGAAAATCACACAGAATCACAGAATCACAGAATCACAGAATCACAGAAT